GTGTGTGGTATTTTGTTCTCGATAACAATGAATATATAATTTTAATATTCAAATTTAATCTTTTAATCTATAAAATGTAACATTGGAATTGATTGTCAATTATTGATATGTGATATTGAAGATTATTGGTATGTTGAGAATTTTACAATAATTTCCATTCAAATTCATTGATTTTTTATAAATTTACATTTAAATTTTGTTAAAAAGTTTTTTCCCAAATGAACTAATTATTGGACTATTTATATTAGTAATTAAATTTGTAAAATTGTATTTTAAATTCAAATATTTAATATCTATAGAAAATGGAAAAGTATTCTATCAATTAGTATAATTTGTGCAATCATTCTATTACCTATATTCATGTACATTTCGTATTTAAATCTAAAAAATATAATTTTAAATTCAAAAGTTAGTTTAAGTCTTTGATATAATTTTAATTCTTTGTTATGATGAAGTGGTAGAATAATACTAAAATATAATAAATGATTAGTAAGATTATCAGCTTATCCGATAGTTCAATATTTGAATTAATTCATTCAAAAGTTAGCAATTCATTTTTTACAATTCTTTTTCAATATTTAATATTTAATTTATTTTTTACTAATTATCTATCACAACTTATTCTTACTTACATCAAGTTACGACAGTTAAATCAGTTAGAATTAAATGATTTAAAAAATTTAAATATTAAATGAAGAGGAAATCGAATTTTATGTTTCACAGTAAATCGTTACACAGAAAATTTATCAGCAAAAGATATCTGTTACGTTGTAATTAATTAAATAATTATTAAATTAAGCAATGTCATTTCAAAATATATTTAATATATCATTAACATTTATTGTTCAATTTTTAAGTTAAATTAAATGATATAAAAAGTAAAAGAAAAAGGATATATTACAAGAATAATGAATGTTTAAATGATAATAATAGCAAAAACAAAATTAAAAAAAAAAAAGAAATGCTAAAACATTTATTAAGCGTAATTTTTGTATGATATATTGCCAAATTATTGTTTTAATTAATTAAAATAAAAAGAAAAGAAAAAAGAAAGGAAGAAAAGTAATTAAATAATTCATTAAATTTATCGAATATTCTTTATACTTCGAACTTTTTAAAACAAGTATTGAAAGTTTTCTCAAATGTTCAACAAAATGATTATAAAATAATTTTTTTTCTTGTTAAACCAAAAAAATTCATTAATTATCAATCTTATTACCAATTTTTTTTTCTCTCTTTTTTGCAAGAATTTTAAAAAATTCGGCAATGTAAATTCGGCAATAAATGTTGTCAATTGAACTGGTTTTTCGTTCAGTTTTCTTTTTTTTTCTTTTTTTTTTTTAACAATCAACAATTTAGTAATAAAAGATTGCATTGCAATCATAGCCATTTTCTTATTTTCAACTAAGCACTTTCCATTTTTTCCTTTTTCTTTTTTTTTTGATGATAAAATGATTAGATAGCAATG